ATAGAGAACTGTAACAACACTATAAGCCTGTTGGACCTAAGAGGCATGTATAAAATTTCAATCACAACAGACAATGCACATTTTTCCAAAATGGACACGGAACAATTTCCCAGAGAGACCATGTCAGTCCACAACACAAGTCTTAATAAATTTAAAAAGACTGTAATCATATATAATATCTTTTCTGGTCACAATAGAATAAAACTAGAATTTCTATCAATAAAAGAAGGAAAACTAGAAAGCTCACAAATACAAGGAAATTAAACAACACATATTTTAAACAACCTATAGGTCAAAGAAGAAATCACAAGAGAAATTAGAAAATACCTTGAGAAATATGAAAATGAAAACACAACATACCAAAACTTATAGGATGCAAAGAAAGCAGTGCTAAGAGGGAAATTTATAGCTTTAATGACACACTTATAAAAAGATCTCAAATTAGTAATCTAATTTTATGCATTCAGGAACTAGAAAAATAAGAGCATACTAAATCCAAAACTAGCAGAAGGAAGTAAATAATAAAGATTATAGAAGAGATAAATTAAATAGAGAATAGAAAACAGTAGAGAAAATCAGTAAAATCAAAAGTTGGTTCTTTGAAAAGATCAATAAAATTTACAAACATTTAGCTAGATTGACTTTGGGGGAAAAAAAGACTCAAATTACTAAAACCACAAAAGAAAGAGGGGACATCACTACCAATTTTACAGAAACGAGGATTATAAAAGAATATTATAAACAACTGTATGCCACCGAACTGGATAACCTAGATAAAATGGGCAAATTTGAAGAACACACAATCTACAAATACTGAATCATTAAGAAATAGAAAATCTGAATAGACTTAAAACTAGTAAGGAGATTGAATCAGTAATCAAAACCCTTCCAACAAAGAAAATCCCTGAATCCAGTGGCTTCACTGGTGAATATTACAAATCACTTAAAGATGAATTAACACCAATCCTTCTCAAACTCTTCCAAAAAACTGAAGAGTACAGAATATTTACTAACTTATTCTATGAGCCTAGTATTATCCTGAGAGCAAAGACAAAGACAGAAGCAAAAGAAACTACAGACAAATATCTCTTACAAATATTCATGCAAGAATCTTCAACAAATATAAGCAAACCAAATTCAGCAATATACTAAAAGGATTATAAACCATGACCAAGTGGGATTTATTCCCAAAATTAAAGAGTGGTTCATCATATGAAAATCAATGTGGGGCAGCTGGGTGGCTCAGTCGTTAAGCGTCTGCCTTCCGCTCAGGTCATGATCCCAGGGTCCTGGGATCGAGCCCCACATCGGGCTCCCTCCTCCGCGGGAGGCCTGCTTCTCCTTCTCCCACTCCCCCTGCTTGTGTTCCCTCTCTCGCTATAGCTCTCTGTCAGATAAATAAATAAAACCTTTAAAAAAAGAAAATCAATCAATGTAATACACAGCATTAATAGAATGAAGGATCAAAAAACACATGATTATTCTAAATTGATACAGAAAAAGCATCAATGACAAAAAACAGTCAATAAACTAGAAATAAAAAGAAACTTCTTCAACATTATAAAGCAATATATGGAAAACCCACAGCTAATATCACACTCAATGGAACAAGTCAGGGATGCCAGTTTGTAGCACTTCTATTCAACATAGTAGTTTAAGTTCTTAGCCAGAATAATCAGGCAAAAAAAGGAAATAAAAGACATCCAAATTGGAAGGAAGAACTAAAATGATCTGTTTGCAGATGACATGATCTTTTTTAAATAGAAAGTGAAAGATTTCCCACCCTCCACCCCCACCAAATATAAAGCAAATAAATTCAGAAAAGTTTCAGGATACAAAATCAATACAGAAAAATCAGTTCCCTTTCCATACAGCAGCAATGAACAACTGGAAAAGGAAGTTAAGAAAACAATCCATTTGCAACAGCATTAAAAAAATACTTAGAAATAAATTTAAACAAGAAGGTTAAAGAGTTGTACCCTGAAACTACTACACATTGCTGAAAACAATTAAAAAAGACATAAATAAATGGAAAGACATCCCATGTTCATAGGTTGGAAGAATTAATATAGTTAGTAATACTACCAGAACAGATTCAATGCAATCCCTGTGAAAATCCCACCAGCATTCTTTTGCAGAAAAAGAAAAAAATCCATCCTAAAATGCATTAGGAATCCTGAGGAACTCCAAATAGCCAAAACAATCTTGAAAAAGAACAAAATTAGAGGACCTACGCTTCCTGATTTTAAAACTTACTGCAAAGTTAAAGTAACTGAAACAGTAATGGCATAAGGATAGATTTATAGACTAAGGAAACAACAGAAAGTCCACACATAAGTCCTTGCATATGTGGTTAATGGGTTTTCAACAAGGGTACCAAGACCACTCCATGAAGAAAAGAGAATCTTTTCAACAAATGATGCTGGGAAAATTGGGTATCCACATGCAAAAAAAATAAAATTCTGGTAACAAATATTGGGACAAATATTGTATGATTCCATTTACATGAGGTACCTAGGACAGACAAATTCTTACAGACAGAAAGTAGAATAGAGATTACCAGGGAGCGGATCTGGGGAGTTACTATTTCATAGTTAGAGATTTCCTGTTCGGGATGATGCAAAAGTTGTAGAAACAGACAGTGTTTATGGTTGCATAAATTGTGAATATATGGTTAAAATGATAAATTTTATGTTATGCGTGTTTCACCAGAATTTTTAAAAAAGAAATAACAATAAATATCAGAGGAATAGGTCAAAGGTTTGAGAAGCCTCTGAGGTATAGAACTGAAAAATGAGAAATGAGACAGGGGACTGCTGTTTGTCATTATAATCATTTTTTATTATTTAATTATGTATAAGAATATAAGAATTGATAAATTAAATTTTTAAAGCTTAAAAAATTATAATAATTCAAAAATGAAAAACTGGGTAATTTTTTGATATGTTTTATAGAGAATTAATATCCACGTGATCTATTAAAAGTCCATACAAATCAATAAAGAAGATAAATACAGTATAAAGACAATAAATTAGAAAATAAGAAATAAGCAAAACCCCAGAGAACTATCAATCCCACTCTTAATAAAAGAAATAAACTAAAACTGAAACAAAATACTTTTGAAAGATTATTTTCTGTATCTTCCCATTCTTTTTTAGTTGAAAAGGAAGAAGAAAAATAATCCATTTGTTAAGCCAATTTATAAATCTGCTAAAAAGTATACTTAAATGTTAGTCTCCATAGTCACCCAATAATTAATCATCAGTTTCAGTAACTATTAAATTAATACTGTGCTAAATCTATTCCAAAAATTAAATTTAGAAGGTAATATTACTTCTACATTTAGTTACTTTTCTTCTACCAAGTAATATATTTCACCTAAATTTATTAAGAATTAGAACATATTTTTAAACTACTGAGACTGGCTAATGAAAATTTTACTATTTGAGAAAACTGGTACCAAAAAATATGGTTCATTATTCAACAGTCTGTTTTTTCACTGTAACTTTTTCAATGGCAATTATATTATTGTCAATTTTAATAACTTTATATTAGATTTGGTTTTCCTTTATATACACAAAAAACAGAAACAAAAAAAAACATACCAAATTGCTTCCTAGCATATAAAGAATCATTCTTACCATGTCTTTGAAGCTTAGCAGAATATGAAATTTTTCATTTACTCAACTGGACATTGCTGGCTCACTTTCTGGGATTGTGACTGAGATTTTGCTTTTCTTTAGTTCCAAGCTTAATTATTAGTTTTCCTTAACATAGCTGTTTGGTGTAAATGTACACATTCTGGGATAAATATTGCTTTCTATAAAGAATTTTTAAGATGTTTATGTCCATTTTATTTTCAGATGTTCTTGTGAAAAAAAAAAACTTATCTGATTAAATTTCTTCTGAAAGCAATTCTTCCAATTTATCTATAGGAAGACTAATATACTGTCTCTGCTAACAAAGTATGTCTTTGTCCCCTTCGGGCTGCTATATCAAAATACCTCAAGCTGGATAGCTTTTAAACATAAGAAATTTATCACATACAGTCCTGGAGGCTGGAAAATCCAAGATCAAGGCACCAGTGTGGTCACATTTGATGAGGGCCCTCTTCCTGGTTCATAGCTGGCACCTTTTCTCTACGTCCTCACATGGTGGAAGAGGCAAGGTTTCTCTCAGGTCCTCTTTTATAAACATTAATCCTATTCATAAGAATTCTGACCTCATGACTTAAGCATCTCCCAAAGGCCCCACTCCTAATAGCACCATCTTTAGGGGTTAGGATTTCAACATATGAAATTTTGGAGGACACATTCATACACAGCAGTATGTATATAAATGAAAAGACAGTAGGAGAGCCAAGAGTTATCAGTATTGCCATTCAAATATATTACTTATTTATGCTACATATATAATTTCCTATGAGAAAAGAAAAGAGAATACCACTTCTCTACATTGGAATTTAGCTTGGGTTTTGATAAAGTATGATTTTACTCTCAGGAATTATATGTGGTTTTAATGCTTTGAATATTAGGACTAAAATACACTATATAACTCAATTTTACCCAAGAAAATATTATTAAAAATCAGAAAGACTTTAAAAGCAAGAAAAATATCTAGCCAAATACATGAAGTAAAAAAGATGAGTAACAAAGGAAGTCTGACTTTAGATTCAGATTAATGAAACATTCAAAAGTATAATTTATGAAAGTGAAGAATGTTTTCCTTCAACTATGAAAAAATCAAGCTATCCCTAAGAATAAAAATAACATACACATTAACAGTCCTTATATAACTAACATTGCTTGAAGACGTTTAATCTCTTACAGTTTCAAGTAAAACAGTGATTGAACAATTAATATCTTAATCAATAAATAAGTAAAATTATATATGATGTTTAGAAAACTGTAATTCCTCTGTTGCTTCTGAACTCTGGAAGCTTATCCCGGTAATCCCATGTGATTTTTTAAAGGCAAAAGAAACAATAAATATTGTCTTACCTTGTAAGATGGCAAGAAACACAAAATTCCTTGGCTCACAGTCTGACACACAGATAACAAAAGTTCGCCCACTTCATCCTGGAACTCAAATGTTTCTGTGTGCTGGAAGGTAGCACAGAGATTCCGACCCTTGGGGCCTGACCCAATGGTGCCCACCCAAACCTAGAATATAAATATGTCATATTAGAGTCATGCCTAAACTACACAGGCAAATTAGCATTTAGTTGAGAAATCAACTAAACAAAAAAGAGGGTGGTGATTCCACCATAATTATATGTATGTCAAAAGAAGATCAAGCAACAAGTTTAGAGGAAATTTATTTTTAAATTGGTGGTGTTTTTCTATTATCATTAATTAATTATATATAATTATATATAAATCTAATTTATAGAAATTTAAGCAGACCAATAGCTTTGCAAAATTAAACATGTAGTAAAATTCTGTGGGATGTGAACAAATGAAATGAGTAAATCAGAAATGATTCCAAACTCTTAGAGATGAAGGCTTATACAATCTGCTGTAGATAAGCCTCTGAGACTCAACTATGACAACAGCTAAGTATAATCAATATGAATATACTTAACAAATTTACAAATTCACTGATGGTCAAAGATCTATAGTCCTAAAATATCAGACCCACCAAATTTTAGTTATTTGCAATTGCTCTACATTCATACAGACCTAGCTTTAGTATACTTAATTTGACTAAGAGAAAGAAAAAACTTTATTAGTAATCTAAAGACAATAAAGACTTCAGATTGTTGGAAAATGTAATAGCCCTATATTTTCAAATGATATATGAGATTGAGGTACATTTTCCAAGATGACATCTGATGGACACCAATTTAACCAACTTTTAACTAAATGATTAACTAGTAATAAGACAAACTGATATTAAGTGTTTCCTGACATGAGGCAATGGAAAGTAACAATATCACCTATATAGTAATGTTACCAAACTGTTTAACCTGAATCTATCAAGAAGAAACAATCATATAAAATCCAGATTATGACATTCCTCAAGATAACTGCTGACTTGAATTCTATAAAAATGTCATGAAAGATAAAGACAAAAAAATAAGTCAAAAAAAAGTTTTAAGACTAGAAATATGAAAGTCAAGTGTAACATGTAATACTTGATTGGATCTTGGACCAAGAATAAAAATAAACAGGATAAAGACATTTTGGAAATAACTGGAGAAATATAAATATTGACACTATTGTACCAATATTACATTTCTTGGGTATGATTATGGTATTGTAGTTATGTAGGATTATGTACTTGTTCTTTTTTTAAATGATTATTTATTTAAGAAAGGTGGGGGCGGAGAGGCAGAGAGAGAGGGAAAGAATCCCCAAGGCAAGCCCCACATGGGGCTCCGCACTGGTGTGTGGAAGCCTGCTTGGGATTCTCTCTCTTCCTTTCCCTCTGCTCCGACCCCTCCCTCTCTAAAAAAAATAAAAATATTTTTTTTATAACAGAAAAACTCAAAAAAGCCAAGAGTTTACTCTTTAAAAAGATTAATAAAAGCAATGAACTCAAACCAACACTGATAAAAAAAAACACAAAACCAGAAAATACAAATTGACAATATCAGGTAGGGATAAGAACACGACTACAGAGCTCACAGAGGTTAAAAAGATAACAAAACACTTCACAATAAAAAATAAATTTTTAAAGTTGGGGGCAAATATTATAATAGAATTCAACTGAACAATCAGCATTTTTACTATTATAATCCATTGGCATTACAGGTTAAATGGGCTTTTGTGTACTAGACTGAGAATATAGAGACTATAACAACATTCTTATGAGAAAATATATGTTAAATTTATTAATAACTTCCCATATTTATTTGAACCTCTAAAAAAGGCAACTTAAAACTATAGGACATAGAGTGCACTTGTGGTGAGCACCAGGTATTCTATTAAGTCCTGAATCATTAAATTGTACACCTGAAACAAATATTACACTGCATGTTAACTAAATGGAATTTAAATAAAAACTTTTTAAAAATGTGGAACATAGGGCGCCTGGGTGGCTCAGTTGGTTAAGCGACTGCTTTCGGCTCAGGTCATGATCCTGGAGTCCCTGGATCGAGTTCCGCATCGGGCTCCCTGCTCGGCAGGGACCCTGCTTCTCCCTCTGACCCTCCCCCCTCTCATGTGCTCTCTCTCTCTCATTCTCTCTGTCTCAAATAAATAAATAAAATCTTTAAAAAAAAAAAAAATGTGGAACATACATTTTTCCTTCACTATTGTTTATAGCAATGTCTCTAAACAGGAGCACTCTGGCACTATAGAAAGCACAATTCTTAGTTATATAGGAGCTTAACATTCAAGGCCCCCACCTACTAAATATCAGTAGTTCCTCCCAAGTAATTGTGAAAACCAAAAATGTCCCTACACATACACCTTGGTTGAAAACAACAGCTTTATGGGCGCCTGGGTGGCCCAGTCAGTTGAGCATCTGACTTCAGCTCGGGTCATGATCTCAGGGTCCTGGAATCAGGCTCTGTGCTCAGCAGGGAGTCAGCTTGTCCCTCTCCCTCTCCCTCTGCCCCTTCCCCCATTCATGCTCTCTCTCAAATAAATAAATAAAATCCTTAAAAAAAGAAAAAGAAAACAACAGCTTTATAAAGAACTAGAATTGTGTTAGGTGCACAGGTGATGCTAAGTATGCAGCTAGCCACTTTAAATTACTTCATAAAAAGAAGCAGAAGGTAGATTGACAAATGACAATTCAAATGTTCCTAGGAAATTAAATAACATTTCTATGGTATTATTATAAAACATTAAAAACTTAAGTCATAGGACTCATGAGAGTACTTTTATTTTTTTATTTTTATTTTTTTTAAAGATTTTATTTGTCAGATAGAGAGAGAGAGAGAGAGAGCGTGCACACACAAGCAGGGGGAGCAGCAGAGAGAGAAGCAGGCTTCCCGCCGAGCAGGGAGCCCGACGCGGGACTCGATCCTGGGACTCCAGGATCATGACCTAAGCCAAAGGCAGTCGCTTAACCAACTGAGCCATCCAGGCGCCCATGAAAGTACTTTTAATTCATTTCAGATATTCAAACACATGCTGAACCCTTGCTAATTAACTAATGCCCAGTATTAATCCAGGTGCACTGGAAGAATGGGGACATAAAAAGAAGAATAAGGATATACCACTGTCTGTTGGAAAAGAGAAACAAATGAACAAATAATTATGCAATAGGAACTATGGTAAAGACATTAAATTTTTGTTTTGTTTTTAATTCTCATTTTTAAAAACCTAAAATATACTTAAATGAAGAAACTGCAATATAAACTTTGCATCTAAAGTGTGTATTTTTACTCAGTGAGCTGAAGGAATGCTATTTATCAGTATTGCCTTTTGTTGACACTGCCAAACAGCTGACAGATTTTTCTTTTATTCTAAAGCTAAAATGTTGAATTTCCTGTCAGGATCTGTTAGTATTTCAGGTACCTTCTAATTTTCTTCATATAAAATTATATTGAGGTAAAAAGACTGAGAGCCTTCAAAAAACGTACTAACCTGTGAGTTATTAATGACATGATTAGCCTCCAGTTGGATAGTGAATGTAACACCAAGTTCTGATGAGAAGGATTTCATTGGTGATAATGTCCCAGATGTCAAAACAATTGTCCAAACTTTGCCATTAATATCTGAAAAGGCCTAAAAGGAAACAATATTAGATACATCTTTACAAGAGTAAAATATATTTAATTGTTGGTATTGAGCAAGATGACAGAATTTTCATTTACAACCGACAGGCTTACCACAGCTGGATTTAAGCACCAAAAGTTTAGCACATGAACTGCAATTTTCTGCCTTGAACGTTTCTTATTTTTTGCCAGAGCAAAGAATCCATTTTTATCTGAAGTATCAATCTGATTTATCCAAGAATAAGTCTGTTGAATAGCAACTTTATAATCATCGGCAAATCTGGATGAAAATAAAATGGCAATTAAATGGCAAAACTTTATGAAACACATAATGTCCCAGCTACATACAATATAAAAACTGATTAAACTAAAACTAAATCGATAGTCCTGGTATCTTCTCACTCAAAGATATCATCTTCCCCACCAACAACCCCCACCGCTAATTAAATTCAGTAATTCTGATAGAAAATGAGCCATTAAATCTTACAATCAACTTCCTCTTACAGAGGTTAGATATTATCTAAATATCCATCCCTTACCATTTCCCATCCCTATGTTCGAACAATATATTAATCATGGCAAAACCAGAATTAAAATCCAGGTCTCCTAACTCCTAGTCTAGAGCTCTTTGCACTCTGTGTTACATTATCAGTCACAAAATAGATAACAGTTTTCCTTAAAGAAGCTAAACAGTGCATTATACTTTTTTATTACATGAGAAAATGGAAAGAATTTTTACTGAAAGTTTTAAAAGTTTAGAAAACTAATTATAAATTTTAAGTTCCTTTAAAATATGGGTTTCAGTCTTCATTAACTTTTAATGAAGGTATTGATCTCTGTGATCCCATCCAACTTATAATTTCTTTCAATAAGAGGCTATGCACACACACACAAAAAAGGCTATGCACACTTCAGCTTAAAGAGAATAAAATATGGTGTTCTCCACCATGTCCTCACAATAATATTGACTGTTAATTTCACCCCTAGAGAGATCAGATCTCAAAGTTCAAGTCAGGGACCCTATAATCCTTGGAGAGAATTTTATAAAAGTACTGAGAGTTATAAACTATAAAACATTTAGAGGAAAACATAGGGGAAAATCTTAATGATACCAGATTTGGCCATATTTTTTGTATATACCAAAGGCACAAGCAACAAAAGGAAAAATAAACTGGACTTCATCAAAATTAAAAAACTTTGGGGCGCCTGGGTGGCTCAGATGGTTAAGCGTCTGCCTTTGGCTTAGCTCATGATCCCAGTGTCCTGGGATCGAGCCCCGCATCGGGCTCCCTGCTCCGCAGGAAGCCTGCTTCTCCCTCCTCCACTCCCCCTGCTTGTGTTCCCTCTCTCGCTGTGTCTCTCTCTGTCATATAAAAAAAAACAAAAAACAAAAAACTTTTGTGCATCCAAGGACACTATCAGAGAGTGAGAAGACAACCCACAGAATGGGATATATGTGTAAAACATATATCTGATATAGGATTAATATGCAGAATATATAGGTAACTTTTACAACTCAACAACAACAAAAAACAACCCAATTCAAAAATGGGCATAGGATGTGAACAGACATTACTCCAATGAAGACATGCAAATGGACAATAAGAACATGAAAAGATGCTCAACATCACTAGCCATTAGTGGAGGGTGGAGTAAATAAAAACTATAAGCAAATACCATTTTATACCCATTAGGATGGCTATTATCCCAAAAGTGAGAAACAACAAGTAGTGGCAAGGATGTCGAGCAACTAGAAATGTTGTGCATTAACTATGGGAATTTAAAATGGGAAAATAGTATGTTGATTCCTCAAAAAGTTAAATACAGAATTACCATATGACCCTGAAATTCCACACTCCAGGTATTTACCTGGAGGAACTGAAAGCAGGGACTCAAACAGATACTTGTGGTTTTTTTGTTTGTTTGTTTTTTAAAGGATTTTATTTATTTATTTGACAGAGACAGAGATAGCGAGAGCAGGAACACAAGCAGGGGGCGTGGGAGAGGGAGAAGCAGGCTTCCCGCCAAGCAGGGAGCCCAATGCGGGACTCGATCCTAGGACCCTGGGATCATGACCTGAGCCGAAGGCAGACACTTAACAACTGAGCCACCCGGGCGCCCCTCAAACAAATACTTGTATATCAATATTCACTGTAGCATTATTCCCAATAGACAAAAGGTGAAAATAATCCAAATGTCCATCAACATAACAAAGGATAAACAAACTATGGTACATACATACAATGGAATCTGATAATATTCAGCCATAAAACAGAATGGTATTCTGATATATGTTACAACATGGATGAACCTTGAAAACATTGTACTAAGTTAAATAAGCCAGATGCAAAAGAACGAATATTGTATGATTCCACTTTACAGGAGATAACCTAAAAGGGGCAAACCCATGGAGATGAAAGAAAAGAGGTTACCAGAGGTTATGAGAAGAAGGAAATGGGAACTATTGTTTCATGGGTATAGAGCTCCTGAAAAAGTTCTGTGAATGGATAGTAGTGATGTGAATATACTTAATGCTACTAAAATGTACACTTAAAATGGTTAAAAGAGTAAATTTTATGTTATGTATGTATGTTTTACCATAAAAAAATTGGAACCAGATAGTACTATAATTTAATAAGGGATTGAGCGAGGGGAGTTAACTGTTTCTCATTTTCCACGTTTCACTAAATAGAGGCTTTATGCAATAAGAGACTTTCTGACACTGGAAGAAACATATCTAAAACTGTCCTTAAAACCTAAATGTTTAAGTTCAGTCATATACAATTTAATGTATAATTATAATATATAATACACTGTATAAATTATACAATATAAATTATAAAAATAAATTTATACAAATTTAATACTGCATTAATAAAATGTATTTAAAATATATCTACTTTGGGGCGCCTGGGTGGCTCAGTCGTTAAGCGTCTGCCTTCGGCTCAGGTCATGATCC